ATTCGGGCTAACCAATGCACCAAGCACCTTCATGCGATTGATGAACCAGGTTCTAAGGTCATTTATTGGTAAATTTGTTATTGTCTACTTTGATGACATACTTATTTACAGTAAATGCTATTCTGATCACACTAAGCACTTAGAAATAATTCTGAAAACGCTTCGGAAGGAAGGCCTTTATGCTAACCTAAAGAAGTGCTCATTTTGTACTAACAAGTGTGTGTTCTTAGGTTTTATAGTGAGTAAATGGCCTACAAGTAGATGAAGAAAAGATCAAAGCGATCCGTGAATGGCCTACTCCAACATCCATTGGACATGTCCGCAGTTTTCATGGACTAGCAAGCTTCTACATGAGGTTTGTCAGAGACTTAAGCACAGTGGCTGCACCAATGACTCATGTAATCAAGAAAAATGTACCATTCTCATGGGGAGAAGCTCAAGAACAGTCATTCAACACGCTGAAAGAGAGGCTCACACAAGCACCAGTTTTAGCACTTCCAGATTTTGAAGTTATGTTTGAAGTAGAGTGTGATGCATCAGGTTTGGTAGTTGGAGATGTACTACATCAGAGGAAAATACCAGTAGCATTTTTTAGTGAAAAGCTAAGTAGAGCAGCGGTGAACTACCCGACCTACGACAAAGAGCTTTATGCCTTAGTACGAGAACTTGAGACATGGCAACATTACTTGTTGTCCAAGGAATTCATCATTCATACCGACCATGAAATTCTTAAGCACCTCAAGGGCCAGACTTCACTTAAGAGGAGACATGCAAAGTGGTTGGAGTTCATTGAGACGTTCCCATATGTGATTAAGTACAAGAAGGGAAACGAGAATGTGGTAGATGATGCTTTATCGAGGAGACATGCCCTTATAGCTACAATGGAGGCCAAAATAATGGGTTTTGAGCACATCAAGGAGTTGTACAAAGATGATCCAGAATTAGGCGAGTGTTACAAAGAGCATTGCAAAGGAGCTTATCAAGCATTCTACTTGTAAGATGAATTCTTGTTCAAAGACAAGCGGTTGTTCATCCCTCAAGGTTTGATGCGAGAGTTGATACTCACTGAAACACATGGTGGAGGGTTGATGGGTCACTTTGGTGTTGACAAAATGTTGGCCATGATAATGGATCACTTCTTTTGGCCCCATCTCAAGAAAGACGTGGAGAGATTTTGTTCTTGATGCATTGTTTGCCACAATGAAAAATCCAGGTTACATCCTCATGGTCTTTATTTACAATTACCTATTCCTAACGCCCCTTGGTTAGATATTTCTATGGACTTTTTCTTAAGATTGCCTAAGATTAGACACAAAGATTCAATCTTTGTCGTCGTGGACCGTTTCTCCAAGATGGCACACTTCATCCCGTGTGACAAGACCAATGACGCGACTTAAACCGCGGATTTGTTCTTCAAGGAAGTGGTGCGCCTCCATGGGATTCCGAGGACCATAGACTCTGATCGTGACACCAAGTTCTTGAGTCACTTTTGGAAGACACTTTGGAGAAAGTTAGGTACCAAGCTTCTATTCTCTAGAACTTGTTATCCTCAAACGGATGGACAAACCGAAGTGGTAAACCGAACTCTCTCAACTTTACTTAGAGCCACTCTTGGTAGGAATATGGCTACATGACTTGATTGCATCCCTTTCATTGAGTTTGCTTATAATTGTGACGTTCACTCGGCTACAAAACTATCTCCCTTCGAGATAGTCTGTGTAATTAACCCATAGATTTAGGACCTTTACCTCAGATAGAACATGCTTGTCAAGATGGATTAAGACGAGGAGAAATCATCAAGAAGTTGCATGAAAAAGCCAAAGGCAACTTAGAGAAGAAGGCCGTCGACAACAAACGCAAAGTTGATCGAGGAAGAAAGGAAGTGTTATTTGAAACATGAGATTGGGTCTGGTTTCATATGAGGCCTGAGAGGTTTCCAACACAAAGAGCATCCAAGCTATCATCAAGAGGCGACGGTCCATTTAGGATCCTCGAAAAGATCAATGACAATGCTTACCGTTTGGAGCTACCTAATGAGGTAGAAGTTTCTCATACTTTTAATGTTGAAGAGGGAGGGAATGACGCGGACATCAATTATCCTGTCCAACCCGCTGAACTAGTTCACGTACCAGATACTGTACCACACCCTGTACCAGTCTTCCCAGAAGGTCCCATGAATCGTTCAAAGGATAAACAGCTTAGAAAAAGATTCAACTTAGCTGTACAAGACATTGTGAGCTCACTAGAGCTGAACTACGTCAACTGGTCTATACCACCTTTACTCCATCACAACGGATATGACTCCATCGCCGAGGAAGAGCTTGCTGAAGCATTCACCCAAATGAGTCTTGAACATACCATTTCCCCATGTATGAATTCTCCTTTGACAGGTCAAGAAACCTCTAGAATCCAAGAGAAGACAATGGAGTTATAGGAGACAAGCAAAACAAGCTTCACCTTCAAGAGTGATCGAGAGAGTGAAGATCAAGAAGAAGACATCAAGGACTTGGAAGAGCTTCAAGAGACTGATCAAGCTACCCAAGAGAAACTCTAAGAAGCCACCTACTTCAAGAAACCAACAAACAAACGGGCACCTGACAAGACTCCTGAAGTAGATTAGCGAGTAGTACAAGATGTAGTTCAGAGAACAGCTATTGGGCCTAGATCGCATCCAGGTAAGTTCTATTCAGTATTTTTGATATTTTCAGGCCTAGAAGACGTGCTCATCACGAGGTTTCAAGTTTGCTTTAGTATTTGACTTATTTTCTTTCCAAAAACAATGGATTTGTGTTTGTAGTTTTATTTGTTTCCTTTGTTGCATTTTTACATTTATTTCGGCCTTAAGGCTAGCTGAAGGACTCTTTTAAAGTCCCCCTGCAGCAGTTGTACGAGTTTTTTACCCTATTATCAATAAAGAAACCGAATTTTCTTCCTTTTTCTCCTTAAGTGTTCTTAAGAGAAAAGCTTGTTCTTTGTCTTGTGTGTGTGACTCCACAAGGCTGAGTTCGTGTACTGTATCAGAGACCAATCGCATCTCTGTGGTGTACTTCTATCCCCCATCACTTCCCCTACAATCGATCCCACACGAGAGAAGTGACCGCCATCGTGTCAGATCTACATCAGCGACCATATTTCCTTCACAAGAGAGAAGAGACCGCCATCTTGTGAAGCCATCATCTCTATCCTAATACAAGCTAACCACCGAGTCTTGTATCACCAGCCTTGCATCTCCACTAGTCCTTCCATCTATCTTTATCTCTCTCGGTCAGCTTAAATAGGTTCACCACGCTTGAGAGAGCCATATATACTCTTCCCTCGGGCATCCTTTATACCGCCGGAGTTTAGTACTGTGGTTGAAACTATCAAGTGGTCTTGCTTCTTGCTTGTTTATAACCGGCTCTAAACTCCACACGCTTGTCTTGCTTCTTTCTATCATCTTTGTAGCTTCCTTTGAAGCTTGAGAGTGATATGGAACATTTCTTCTCTTCAAGTTTTCTGGACACTCACAAATCTTGAATGAGACCTTCTTTTAAGCTTCCTTGATGATTCGCTTTTTTAAAGATCTTCTAGAGCTCCATGAGGGTTGTTTACACCCTTCTTTAGCTCCAGAAGCTTTCTTTGACTTCTCCTTCTTTGTAACTTTCTTTGAAACTTCTTGACAACACCAAGCCTAGCAGCCATTAGCTCTTAAAGCTAATCCTCCTTCATTATCCCTTATTGGAACAACATCAAGACTAGTCTTCTAAGGCTTCTTTCATGACCGCTTCTTAGGTTTCAAATGCTACAATTTTGGCTTCTTTTTAAGCTTTTTTCATGGCCAGGCAATGGCCAATCGACACCTTAACCGACCTCAATGGTGGATAGCTTCTTCTCAGTCGCGTCAGATTGATATATACCCACTGAATCGGGCATAACTTTTGATCGTCTGCTCGGATGTGAGTGATATCACTTTCACTGGAAAGCTTACTCAATATCCAACAAATGGAATGAAGAACGTGGAAGCTGAATCCCAGTGGAAGGCCGTCGTACGAGTCAATCTTTAGGACGCTTTGACAGAGAATTTTCTTGCATGCTTAAGAATTTGCTTCTTCCTCTATAAGATTTAATTTCTTTTAGTCCTTCATGACTTTATTCCTCTTCTTATAGACCTCTTTTCCTCATCTTGTGTTTCTCTTTGAGAATTTCTACACATGACTCCTCTCCTTTAAACCTTCATCATGAGATTTAACGAGAAATAAAGTATATGTTGTGCGGTTTTAAGAAAACACTTAATAAAACTTGAGAAACCAAAATAAGAGAAATAATGAAGCTTAAGGTAATGAAATTTTAATTCTCTTTAAATATTATATTTATTTTAAGAAAATATTTAAAATCGAATTTAAAATCTGTAAAATATTTTAAATCGAATTTATACTATTTTCTAATAAATATAATTATAACTAGGCAAGTTACCCGCGCTTCGCCGCGGTTAAGGGGAAGAATATATACATTTTAAAGACGAATTGATATTAACAACATTGTAGTATTTGTAATCAGTAATCTTGTTTTTAAATATCTAGATATTTCATTTGCTTTTTGTATTTGAAATTGCAACAATGTTGTGAACCTATTGCTCATAATGGATATGATTTGGTTATGTCTTATTCTGAATTTTACAATGTGCATACATGAACCAACTGTATTATAATTTTCAATATAACATGAATACTATATCATGATCAATATTAATATGTAATGACCAAACTGAAAATGATAATTAAAAAATTCGGCCAATTTTTCAAAGATCAACGATGTATTTGTAAATGTTTAAATATCAAGAATATCAAGAATAAACACATAGTCGTTCTTACATAGAATCTCCGATGATTCATTATATATAACAAAATCCAAACTGAAACAAAATATTGATCCTATTAAGGTTTCAAAACACAAAACATCTATACATTAATAAGCAGGCCATGTTATTCCTATGCTAGAACTGCAATGAAACCATCTTGTAATCATTCCTCGGAAGATACTCTGAAATGGTAGTTTGCAGCAAATTCAGAGCTACAATTCAAATATCCAAGTTAGTTAGAATCTATATAAAATAAAAAACAATGGGACAACCATATGCCTAAAAGAAAACGTATAAACTTACCTTATCTTGTGGTTTTCTAGACCAGTATTGGTTGGGTTAAGAAATGTCCTTGAAGCTCCACTATCACCTTCATCATCATTAGTAATACAGGGCTTACCTAAACAAAGTAAACAACAAAGGAAATTATAATATTTTCTAATCCGTCTATTGTAAAATCTCAAACATTCAAATAGAACTACAAACATTCAAATAGAACTAAACTCTCTTTACCGTGATATGTAGATACTCTCCAAAATCGAAGGACACAAAACACCGGGTGTGTTTTGTAAGTGATATTGTAACCCTTTGACCTCCACTCCCTTAAGAAGTTATGAGCACCTAGTCCTCTAATACGACAACTAATTCTTTCATTCCTGTTACAGTCCATTGTATATAATTAGGCAAATTTATAAGCATGCTTTCCAATATAAAATATAACTAAGCATAAGTAACGTTTACTAAATTACCTTCCATTAATCATTTGGAAAACCAAGCCGTTGACTCTATAAGGATTCCCATACTCATCCATTTTACTATCCTCTTCTTTCAATTCACCAACATCAATTATAGATCCGTAGAAATCTAACATGGAGTAAATATAGACAAAATGCTTAGAATAGATAGATATTTCATATGGTTCAAAATATGATAATTTAAACTTGATTCAGAACACTTACCATAGGAATTATCCACAGGAACGATTTCTTTTAAAACATGCGAGAAATCTTCAAAGTGATAGTATTCTTTGGAAGACAGAGGAGCTATGCGCATCATGCTTGTCTTCTCATCAACCTTGATCTGGTACGTATGGTTGGTGTTTCTTTCTGGCAACACAGGCTTTATGACTCTAAAATCTTTGATGGAATACCATACCCCTTCGTAAACATGTTTAGGGATATTCTTCTCAGAATGTTTTAACACATAAGTAGCTTCAATCCTGTCACCCTATATTAAGATTTAAGAGCAAACTAATCGACTTAAACTAAAGCATTAAAACTCAAAATTGACCGATTACTACACAATTGAACATAAGGGAAGTTTAACATATGTTTATTGAAAATTTAGAAACATAAATTACCTTTTCATCGGCAAGGATTAAAACCCTTTTCATGAAGAAATCCCTTCGATAGGCAATAGACAATATTTTCGCTTCTATGTTCCAATTAGTTCTTGAAGGATTCAAATCGGCAACGGAATCTGTTCGCATGATTTCTAAATTATAAATTTCTGTTTTCGTTGGAAGAATTGTGAAGAAGATGATAGGCGGTGTGTTTGATCTTTCGGATTCCAAATGAAAATAGATTTAGTTTAGGTAAAAAAATAAAAGTCCATTAGACGCTTATAAATTGTAAATAGTGGTAAGTTGCGTCGTTTGGATTTTCACATTAACATTTTTAAAAAAAAACACTAATATTTCGTTTGGACATGTAAGATATTTTTAAAAGAATCAAATGTTATAGAATCGAATGTTTTAACTGTTATTTACTATAAGTACGTTATTCTTTTTATATTTTAAGTGGTACATATAATTAGAGTCTATAAAACCCTTAAACCCCAAACTGAACAAAACACATTATTTAGTGATAAATGTAAAATTCCTAACAAATAGTAGGGTTTGAAACAAAATTTGGTTTATGATTTATACTCACGAGATTTAAACCCGATGGGTTGGTTATCTTCTGATGACATGGTTTATGATTATACTCACGATATTAGAACTTATTCTGAATGAAATTAATATTCTATTTGAATATTTATGCTAATAATGTAAATTAAATAAGCTATTTTGAGATTTCCACATCTGTAAATAGAAACAAATTGGCTTGGTTGGCTTGATAATAAGAATTAAAATTTACAATAGACCAATATTAAAGTCTGAAAGCATAAAACATTTTAAGTGGATACATAATAAATTGATTCCGTGCATGGTAAGGTAAACACTTGGAAGTGATACTTCAAGATCAAGCTTTATTTTCAGCAAAATTTCACTAAATAATTTATTTGGTTCATGATTTGTAGGAACTTCGAAGATAACCACCATTCATATTGTCCCATAAAAAACGTACGCACAAGTAGTACCAGTTTTGGATATAACTTTATACTCAAAGCACCTATAAGTATGATAATTCCTATTTTTTGCTCACAATCTTCTTTTGTATATAAAATTGTTCCATTCTATTCTAATTTTTTGAATCCGCCTATATGAACCAATTGTATTATGATTTTCACAATGATCAAATATAAATGAATTTTATATTTATGATTGTAAGTAATACATATAAATTGTGCTTGAGTAGACGACATAATTTATATAATTCTTAAAACTTTTAAGTTATATTAGTATATATAAAGTAATACGTATAAAACCGTTTAGGTAAAAACTGAAACTGGGACAATGTTTTTCACATGAAACTATGAAATAAAATTACAACTAATCAAAAAATGATCCAACAGACCAGTTGATTTCTATGCTACTGTTGCATGGCTTGGATCTTCTTCTCCGTACTTCGTAGACTTGTTGAAATGATAAGATGCAGCAAATTCAGAGCTACAAAATTTAATATTTTACATTGTTAAATTTATATATAAGAGAAGCAACATATTGACAAATATTGGCAATGGACAGCATATTAGAATTTACCTTGTTCTGTGGTGTTGAAGTCCAGGATTGTCTGGATTTAAAACTGTCCTTGAAAATCCGCAATAATCTTCCGCATCATTGGTAATACACGGCTTTCCTAAGATGTAACATGTAGAATGAATCGGGTTCTAGTTCTTTATCTGTTCTATAGAT